AAGTACCACGGACACATCCTATTTCCTTCTCTCAGCCCATCTGAGTCACGACATTCGAGTTACCTTTGAAGGCCACATGACACAGAAGCCTCTAAACAACTTTTCCATCGGTGTTCGGAGGACTACAGCGTCTAGCTTCAGAGCTTCATGCCAAAGAGGCTGCAAATCTCCTGTTGGCATTCATTGTGGGTAGAAGTGTTGTCTTTCTTTGTACATATTCTCACCTGCATGTTAATTCTGCGTAACAGAATCTTCGAACATTACTGCCTCTATTGCGCTCGCAATGGTCGACTGATCCCCGTGGGTCTAGTGTTGGGATTCTATGTGGACGTGGTGGTTAAGCGTTGGTGGGAGCAGTTTCGCCTCATTCCTTGGCCTGACGAGATGACCATGCTGCTAAGCGCTCACGTTCTCGACGACTCGGAAGCGGCGCGGCAGAATATGAAGGCCGTATTACGCTACATCAACCTCTCCTATATCCTTGCCTTCCGCACAATTTGTTCTCGTGTTCGGAAGCGCTACCCCGTAGATCAAAGCCTCCTGGCTGATGGTAAGACCAATCGAATTCGTCAAAATCTACGGAGGCACTGCGCTAAAGGTTGATCATAAAAACTAACTTCAGTGTCGCAGTCGGATGTAACTTCCTCCAGCTATAGTTGGCAGACTAGCAGCCACAAAATGATTCAAGAAATGTTTCAGATGAATGTGCTAGAGTTGACAGGTGCAATTAATCAACACTATAACAACCAGCGCAGTGTAATCATAATAACCTCTGACAAATTGTCACCATAATTCTTGAATAGTCTAGTGATTTTACAAGCGTAGTTTGATTTGCTACTCATTAATTCTACCGTCGTATTAATTGGAGGGAGAAAGGCATAGATGAATTCCATCATTCAACGTATTCCCTTTAGCAGAGCATTGCTTTGATCTGGATCCAAAATCTGTTTCAGTCCAAAAGCTTTCGCAGAAGTGCTGCTCCTGAAAATTGTGGCAATGACTAGAAAAGATGTCTCGGCACTCGTATGATAAAATGGAGGTGATGAAAAGCTCAGCATTGACTTATGCATATAGTTTAAGTGTTGTACAGCTAATTCAGTGCCTTCATCTTGTCTCCCTTAGTTGCGGTGGGCATACTCTCAGCTTTTATTTTTTTAAACGTTATTGTGCCTTGCAGTATACGACAAAAGAAGATATGAAGTGTTGCAGAAAGTTCAAAAATCCAAAAATGTTGGCCACTTTTCCCATAACTATTTCATAAGGGCAGTCTTACAACAAGCAAACACAAGAAGGAATTACAGATTCTGCTGCTTTTGTTTCCTGTAAATGCAGCCTGTTTGAACCGTTCCTAAGTGTTGGCATTTGACTACAAGAGTTTAGCAAAGAATTGGGATGAAATGCGATAAATTTTGCATTGCTGATGTAAAGCAGTAGTGTGGTACAGATCTTGCACTATGTTAATACAAATGACCCAAAAATAAGC